CTTGGGTCGGGTTTAGGGTTTAGGGCTTAGGGTTTAGGGTTTAGGGTTTAGGGTTTAGGGTTTAGGGTTTAGGGTTAACCTCAAAGCCCAAACCCCAAACACCTAAACCCTAAACCCCAAGCTTCGCCAAACACCAAACCCCAAAGCCTTATGTAAAAGCCCTGCAATCAACGAAGAACCCCTAAACCCCTAAAGCCCAAACCCTAAACCCAAAACCCTAAACTCTAAACCCTCAACCCTTCTAAAGCCCTCAGGAAAGTCTGCGCAAGTCGGAATCTGCAGCCCAGGCTACGTGGCCCCCGACCATGGTACTGACCCGAGTCGGTTGGAACTCGAAGGCGCTCTCCTGGTCTAGGGGTTTGGGGTTTCAGGGTTTAGGGGGTTTAGGGGTTTAGGGGTTTAGGGTTTAGGGCTTAAGGGGTTTAGGGGTTTAGGGGTCAGGGTTTAGGGTTTAGGGGTTTGGGGCTTTAGGGGTTTAGGGTTTAGGGGTAGGTTATTTGTAGGGTTTCGTCAGGGCTTCGGGATTTAGGCGTACAGGGTTTTAGTTTGGGCTTCAGGTTTTGGATTCAGGGCTCTGGATGCCAAGGCAGGTTTAGGGATGATATTGTGGTTCCGGTAATGGGGCCTCCAGAATAAGACGAGAGCTCCACAATAAGAATAGAGCCTTGGAGGTGTATGTTTTCGGTCAAGTTATAGTGGGACAGTAGTGGGACCAACACCGACCCAATCCAGCTCCGAAGGAAGAGCTCTCGAGGCTTCTGCCTGCACCAGCACGTGACTCGCGCTAAGGTAGGTAGTATTATTAGGGGTACCCCTTAAAGGGTACCCCTTCTGAACCCTACTTTTGGCTCTCTTCAAAGGGACCTTATTGAGAGGGTCTATATCCCCAAGGGTCCCCCTAATCCTGGCTCCCATAAGGGGGCATTATGGCTAGTTCTTTAGATCTCGATGTGTTCATGGATCCTGTCTAGGCATTGAGCTGTCAGAAACAAAGCTGAGCCCGACATCCTAAGCCCTATACCCCAAATCCCAAACTCCAGAAGTTCTAAGATCTTAGTATTCGTGCTCGACTAGTGAGGTAGTCAGCACCCCTGTGTTCTAATATAGGGGCCATAATAGGTACAAGAAGATTTTGGGTTATATTGTACGCTAATCAGAATAAGGAGCCCAATGAATAATCATGGTAATGATTCAAGCCCGTGTGTTCTACAAGTTTTGTGCTGCGTTTCCCTATTCCATATGGGGCCCAGCTATCAACACATGACGACTAAACCCTGAACCCTAAACCCTAAACCCTAAACGACTGAACACTTATAGCAGGCGTTTGCGGCACCTGGACCCCACGGAACCCAAAGGAATTCATGTAGGGGCCTTCATAATTAGAATAGGGTTTTGGGTCATATTCTACTATAACTTGAACAAGGAACCCCCAAAATAATATCGGTAATTTGTTAGGCCTCCACATTACATCTAGACAACTTGTTCCAAACCTACGAATCCAGCCACAGAAACCCGATGAAGACGCTGATGGAATCTCATAGCTCCGGAAAACATGCGAAACTGCATAAACAAAGAACCCTGTGTGGGTAGTTCTATAAATTAGGGTTCATTTGGGGGGTCATTTTTATGAGGGTGCCGTACTATATTGGGGACCTAATGCAGGACCCTGATTTAGAGAACTGCCCTGTGTACGAGGATGTAAGACCACATAAATTGGTAGCGCCCCATGTGCACAGTTCGGGTATTTCTGCAGATTAGGATCCTGTTTAGGTCCCAAAAATCGCGCGGACACGCATCTTTAAGGACCCTAAACAGGACCCTAAACCCTAAACCCTAAAAAAGCCCCTAATTTAGAGAACTACCCGTTTCGGGTCAGGTCACTGGAGCTTGGCCAGTGCCATTCGTATCCTGCAGGTCACGCCGTCGTTTTGCAGGGATTCTTTAGGGTTGAGGGTCCGCGTCGTTTTGTAGGGGTTCTTTAGGTCTTAGGGTTTCTAAAATGTCGCCGCCACACCAATCATGATGAGTTGTCTACATCCCATACCCCTGTGTTCCGAGTTCTGGTGAGTTCTAGCCTTACCTAAACCCTAAACCCCAACACCTGTAAACCCAACCCAAAACCCGCAAACCTTAAATCCTAAAACCCTCAACCCCGAAACCCTAAACACGCTTAAACCTTGAACTGCAGGGATTAGGGTAATGTAGAGGCCTTCATAATTAGAATAGGGTTTTGGGGTAGATTATATGATAATTATTCTAATTTACAATAAGGAACCCCAGAATAGTGTTGGTAAT